GTAATATATGCTCACGAAATGAATAGCTAGTGAATTTGAAGGGAGTAGGTTTTTAAGTAAGAACTCTTTTGCAAGATGTAAAAATACTAGAGTTGTCATGTTTCCAACTGTTCATCTTTTTCAGCAAGGCTTTTTACAAAAATGTCTTATTTATGTGGAGATCGATAACGGTGAATCAGAACCGTGCTATATTTGGAGTGTCCGGTGAAGATTTCGTCGGAAAAGAGGCATTTCCTGCCATTGAAGCTGCACCCTGTTTTAGCAGTAGTTTTCCTGAAATTTTTAATGGACGAAGAGACATTCCATGCATAATTCCAGCTGCCATTGATCAGGTTTTTATTTGAGTCTGTCAAACCTTCTCGTGCTACCTAGGTGCAACGAAGTTTTCGATTTTTTTTGTTCTAGTTACGTAGTTGAATGATAGTTTTAATTAATGTTATACAGGACCCTTATTTTCGCATGACTCGAGATGTAGCTCCAAGAATGAAATGCCCGAAACCTGCTATGATCTACAGCTCATTTCTGCCATCTCTCCAGGGTGCACAAAGTAAAATGGCAGCATCTGACGTCAATTCCTGTATTTACATGGACGACACACCAAAGCAAATTAAAACAAAAGTGGATTCTTGAGTTTTTATTTCTACCATTTTTAAATTTATTGATATATAGATATTATAATTTTATCTGGATTTGTCTGTGCTTTATTAGTCTGTAAGCAGTTCCGGAAGTCTGACACTAAATGAAAATTTTTCCGTCAGTTTTTAACTCGCATACAGCAGCTTTTTCGCTGTTTCAGAAGCAGTGTTGCATTCTTACAGAATGTTTTTAGATTAACAAGTACGCGTTTAGCGGTGGCCGAGATACTGTTGAGGAGCACAGAAAGTATGGCGGTAATTGTGACGTTGATATAGCCTTTCAATTCTTAAGATATTTTCTAGAAGACGATGACGAGTTGGAGAAGATAAGAAATGTGTGTTTTAATAGTTGAAGCAGTGGTTAATAATTAAGTGTCGCTTGTTTGCTAATCGTTTGCTTTGTTTTCAATCTGCTCTAGCGATCTAGGCGTGACCGTTTTTCAGCGTTATACCACTGGTGAACTACTGACTGGGGAGTTGAAAGCGATCGCTATAAAAGAGGTGCAAAGAGTAATTGGAGAACTGCAGATGAGACGAAAGGAAGTTACAGATGAATTAGTGGATCAGTTTTCTGTTCCGCGTCGTCTTTGTTATGAATATTGATCTTGTTGCATTATTCGTCATGCTCGCTATTTTGTCTGCTTTAAGTTATATATTTTGAAGGTGAACGAAAGTGTGCAGTTTTTGGACCAATGTAAGCAGCAGAATTGTGTCGAAATGCGTCTAGATTAGAGATTTAAGAATTGGAAGATATTTGAAGGTTTAGTAAACATTGTTATTCTAGTAATTTTTATCTTATTTTCGCTACTGTATAGCTGGTTGTATGGTGGTTTGAAAACTTCTTGTTTTTTATTTTTTATCTAAGTTCAGATTTTGTTTATTGGCTTTAGGCTACATTATAAAACCAGATTTTTGTAGCTTGTTTAGACGGTCAATTTACGGTTTTGCTTTAATTTGATTATACTGTTTAGTGAACCGTAAAGATTTTAGCCACCTTTTTTAAGCTAAGGCAAAAAGTTTTTTGTTGGATTCGATATGCGGGTTCTCTGAATGTTTCTTTGTTGTCTGAATGGCTTATTTTGTTAAACCGGTGTTGCTGTCATTGCAGTGCCTGCTTGAAAGTTTATTTTCGTTTGTGACGTGTTTTGAATTCAGTTAGCCCTCTTTGTTTTTCTACATTTTCCCCTTAATTACGCGTAAGGTTGTTGTTTTTTTGCGATGGTTAGGCAGGCGCGAAATTTTATTGGCAATTTGTAGTTAAAGCTTTTTTTACTGGAGATGTATGTGGATTTTAAAATTTAAGTGAACTACAAGAAAAAGTCTGAATATTGTCTTTTGTCAGGGGGAAGGAAGAAATGTTGTTTTTTTTTTTCATGTATGTATAGAATGTTCCATCGATTAGCATTTTAGCCCGCACGTAATCATCTCTTTTAACTGATTTAGCAGGTATAAGCGTGGTGAAATTTTGATGTTATTTGTTGGGTCAAACATTGTTGTACACCTGTGCTTCTGACTTTGTAATCAGTAGTCTAATTTTATTCTCCTCCAACCTTGCAGCATAAGTTCAATTTCCAAGGAAAAAATGAGTCTGAGAAGATTGCTGTAGGCTTTTGGTCAACTTCACCACCGAATGATATATTAGCGATTTTGATGATTTAGTTGTTAATAAAGATGCCAAGGTTTTTCTTCATAAATAAAATTTTGTTCAGAGCTGGTGGGTTCTTGTTGTTACGTTTGGCAGCCTCCGTGTTGACGACCACTTTAGTGGTGTGCGCGAAATTAGCTCGGGTGGTTGTGTTCGAGTAGCTGGACAAAGTCGCTCTTTGTCTATAAACAGACACATTTTTTTATTCTACAGGTCCCTGAAGTTGCCGTGGGTGATGTACAAAACTGGGATCAGATTTTTGTTCGCGATGTATTTCGCTGCTGTTCTGCTGTTATTGTCGCACACAGTAGAAGGTTATTTTTTTGAGCTTATTGCCGGAGGTTGTTGAGGTACTGAAGTCGGATGCGGAGTTCAGTACAGTGAAAGAGAAGTGCTTCACACTGTAGTTGAAACTTTATTTCATGAGGTCTCAAAATTAGTTAATTAAAGTAATTAAATGGAGTCACTGTAAGCATTGCAGGGGAATGCGTTCAGTCAAAAAACGTTGGCTTTCGGTGTTCTAAGCTTGCCTCTTCAATGCGCTACTATTTTGACAGCAGTTCAGGTTCTGTAGTGATTCTGTAGAAGGGATTACATCTTTTTTTTCTTTTTAACTACAAATTTTGGCGAAGATCCTTCAGATTATTCAATTAGGATTGGTGATAATCTAATATTTATGTTTTTTGCCAAAAAAAATCTTTCTTGCTAAATTTATAATGGAACTATTCTGAAATTAAAATATTGTTTCCAGTTATTTACTGTTTTAGTACGGAAAGATTAAGTTTTGACTGTGTTACTGCACTTTCTACTGTTTTATTTCAAAAAGATTTTTCTAGAAATATGTCAACCATTTCTGTACAAAGGCTGCGGTGGGAACAAAAATAATTATAAAAGTTTGAGTGAGTGTGTTGAAAGGTGTGAAAAAAACAAAGGTCTAAAGGGACCGTCTACAACAGTGGTACCAAAAATCACATATGGTATGTAGTTATCGCTCAATTTTTTTTTGCCTTAATAAAATCTTTCCAAAATTTTTAGCTTAATTGTTATTACTGTTAATTTTGAGCAATAGCAGCAACATTGAATTAGCTTTGTCTACGCAAATTACCTTTCAATATAACGGCCACCTTGGAGCATGGAAAAACGTAGAGGTTAGAACATACCTAAACAACGGTCGACTGTTTTCAGAAACCTCTTGTAACCTTACATTTTCCTATCAAAAGCACAATGAGCCTCAAGAGTGCAGCAGTGAAGAAAAATGTTCTGTGGGATTCAAATGCAATGATGGATACTGTTGTCCCAGCAGAGGTACAAACATATGTATACGTAAAACTGTTTTTACACTACTTTTTGAAATCATTAAAATTAATGTCTAAACTACATTAACAAAATATTTTCAAGGATTTTCGAAAATGAAGGGAATAAAAAAAATAACTTAAGCAAAAAAATATAGCTCAGAAAAAGGGCTACTAATTTGCAAAGAACAAATCCAGATTATATTTTTGTCATTTGCTACAGACTAAACTGAGCGGATTTTGAGCTGTAAAATAGAAGTTTCAGACAAAAACAGAATCTTATTTTGCGCTTTAATTTCTTCCTATAGCGAAAAAATTTTTCTTTTCTCGGTTTCAAAATAACAGTGGGACTTTTCCACAGATGTGAATTTTATCCGGTCATAACACTCGCATTTGTCAAATAGCGTAGGTGTGGAAATTTTGAGGAATTCTGAATAAGACTTCTTTACAGTAGAGTTATTTAGTAGTACCAGATGTTTTTGAAAACAAGAAAATGAACAGATGAAATGATGCAATAAGGTAACATATCAACAAATGGATTGGTTTTGACTAAATCCTTGAATACCACTTAGAGCTTTTACACAGTTCTGTAGATCACTACGCTCTCTGTTGATAAATAGAATTTGGCAAATAAATGCATAATGCTTAATGAGAATGTTGTACCTATAATTTTTATTAAGATAAATCTCAGTGTAATACTACACTGTTAACGAAAAAGTATCAGTGATGGCTTTGAAAAGACTTCAAATACACCTTTATAAAATAAAATATTTTCTTTGAAATTTTGAACTATGTTTTTAGAATACGTATGTTCACAGAAACTAAGTGTTGGCCATGAACTACGACAAGAAATTTACCAACATACCGCTCGATTTGCATACGATGCCGAATATAATACATGTAATTTATTCACTTTCTTCGGTTACGGTGGTAATTTCAACAATTTCGACAGTTTTGAATTTTGTATGGCTTATTGTAATAATGCCTAAATTTTTTATGAATATTTCAAAAATATCCACCTTTTTTTTTGTCCTGAACTATTGTGGAGTAAAAACATGAGGAACATTTATGACACTTCCGTGACCCCCGCAGCTCCGTTAACTGCTCTGTTTGATAAAACCGGTGTCTGATTTTGGTGAAACTCAGCAGTCACGCATCCAAAATCATTTAGACTTCTGTAGCATTGACCTATAGATAATAATCTAGTTAAATAGTTGACAAAAAAATTTCTGCCTCCTTGCTAACAATAAATTCTTTTCGCTTTTCTAGGGTTTTTTTTAATCTACAAAAATGACGTTTTTAGGTGTATATTACCTGCTTTAATGATTTTTAAAGGTTTTGGAGTATTCTGTAAGTGACGACTTGTAAATATCGTTTGTCGATTAAACATTGTACCCCTTGTTTCTAGCGTTTTTACATTACTTTAAACAATTGGAGCTTGTATCAAACAGCACTGAAACATTGTAACGTGGGAGAACAGTAATTTCCTGTTCTTTATTTTCAAGTGAACAGCTTTGTTTTTACTGTTCGATGTCATTTCATCAGAGGACAAATTTTTGATCATATTTTATTCAACAAAAGTATGCTTTATCACTGAATGGTTCAATTATTACATCGCACACAGAAAAAAAAAACAATTTTTCATTCTTAGAATAAAGAAGAAGACGAGGAAAAAAAGGATCAAAAATAAGAAATGACTTTTTCTCGCTAGGTGACGATAAATATTTAGCAATAATCCTTCGTTCTTTTCTCACGATTCCTATAGAAAAACCATCACATGACTGTCACTACATTAGCCGTAAAGAAGTCCGGTGATACAACCATTGGGTTTTTTGTTTATCAAGAACTTTGCAATAAAAATTGCTACTTTTTTTGAGAGAAAGAGGACGAAAAAGCTGGGAATGGAGAAGCAAAAGATAGGCATACTAAAAATCAGAAAATTTCAACCTTTCAAGTGTCTGATGTCAATTTACGTCTTTAGTTAACGACAGTATTGTCAAATAGAAATTTAAAAAAAAAAAACTAAAAATGAAAGAAAATGGAAACTAAAAGCGCGAGAAGCGAAAGGAAGAAAGAAGGATATAAGCAGCTATAAAACCAGAAAAAAGCATCTGATTTAAAAAAAAAAAATTTTTTTTGCTAGTTATTTTTGAGCCACTTTTTCCTCTTTTTTTTTTTTCTGTTGACCTCCTACATTATAGTTTACTGCAAATATAATCAACAGTACCAAAGTAACGTTCAAAAAAAAAAATTTTTTTCCTTCTTTATTTCTATATAATTACAATTTTAGAGTGATCATTCAATTAAGAATAGCTTATAATCAACAACATTGTTGCAGCAACTTTTCTACCTTTTCTTCCCTTCAGCCTTTCTTTTCACTCAGTAAGATTGATCAACAAAAAATTTTTTCACCCCTTCTTTTCAAATTATTGTTCCATTTGTAAGTTTTTGCAACAATTACCGTATAACACAGTAGTAATAATAAACAGAGCAATTAATTAATTTCATTTCAATAAAAGAAATAACATAACTATTTTTACAGAGAAAAGAAACAAAAAAAAAAAAGTTAAAATACACCAAAAAAGCAGAATTTAACAAAATAAATAATAACTTAAATAAATCGGTGCTTTCCTCTTTGCTGTAATTATATAACTAAGAACAAATTTTTTCTAAACAATTTAATTTTCTTGTCATCAAAGTCTACAGGAAGTTTTAGTAGGGCAAACAAAGAAAAAAGATCGTACAGTAGATAAACTTTTAACCAAAAATAAATTTGTTATGTACTGGGGAAAACCGCTGTAGTTAAATAATTCAAACGTCCTTATCGTCAAGTGAGATCAGCATGAAAGTAATGAAACGTCCAATATACAATACAAAATATTAAAAATGCCGTTGGAAATACCCAACGACTATCTGCAACAGTATAATAAGAAAGCTTGAACAGTGTAAACCAATTACCATTCTGTATTTTAAATAGCACTCCAGTTTTGAGCTCTTTGATCGTTAAAACTAAATAAAAGCTACAAAAAACAGAAACAAAAACTGCAGAACTAATATAATTAATTAATCAAATAATTGAGTAAACAAAAAGCCAAAAAACTTACAACGATCAATCGTTCGAGCTTTCAGTTCGTTAGCAGCGAGACAGTGCGGACAAGGCCGTAATGTATCCGGAAGGTTAATGCCAAAACCTTGTCGTATTTGGCTATCGCCTGGCACCAACGTTTGAAACACCTGCAAGTCATATTTTTTCTCTATTTGTGCAACTTCACCAAATTTTTATTGCCTTCTAGGTTGTTTCAAAGTATTCAGTTAAAGATATTCTATTTGTATTTGACTGAAAAAGAAGACGAAATATATGTGAGAACTTAAGAAGATGTAAAGATTTCAGGATAAGAATGAAAATTAACGATGTAGTGATAATCATCATTCCAATAGACTACAGTCATTGCATTTCAACTTAGAACTTACTGTGCTGTCCTGTAATGCTTTCCGAAATCCGTTCGCTAAGAACGGTTTTTCTAGATAACGAAGTGTTTCATGAGATCGTTGGAAACTTTGACTATTATGCAAATGTTGTTGCTGCTTATGCTGCAATGCGTAAATTATGCTAGGCTGTAGACTGAACAGTTAGGTAAGAAACAAATAAACGAACAGAGAAAGCAATTTTTTTGCGGTCAAAACCTAAATGTGAATAACATTTATAACTTGTTCCTATATTTTATAAATTAATATTGATAAGCACTAAAAAGAGTTGATAACAATAACCTTAATATAGTCCCGTAAACGAAAATCAGCATCTTGCAACGACTGACGATGCACACAGACATAATCACGTTTTGTCATAAAAAAGCTAACAAACGAAAACTCCAAAAGCACCAAAAATATTAGAGCCTGAAACGGTTTACATCTATCTTCTTTTTTTCTTTCTGAAAGCTTTTACAATGAGTAAAAGAGTATTTTTTGCAGTGTTGTCGTCCAGCGCAAAATTCTTTTTTTTTTTTAAGAGTAATTTTTAAACTTCTATCTCATAATAAAAAGCAGTAAAGATTTTATTGTTTAAAAAACAACTACTAAAAAGAAAGATAAATATAACTATAAACGTTATTTTTGTAAATATTTTGGCTACATAATACGATAAATTCTGCAAATGCG